AGGATAGGGGTTCATCTCTTATTTACTGCTGCTTCCTCCTCCTGCCTCCTGCTTCCTGCCTCCTGCCACACCATGCCACCCCCTGCTCCTGTCCTCCTCCTCTCACTTGGCCTTCCTCTCTTTTTCTTCCTCCTGCCTTGCGCTGCGCTAACCCTTCTTCCCCCTCCTCCACTCGGCGTATAAGATGACACCCGAGTTTGGAGAAGATTTTCCTGGATTAAAAAGTAGTCTTATACGCCAGAATATACAGTAATTGAGCCAATGTCTCTAGTCTAGTTGCGACTAACTATAGGATTTAGGCTGGTTTGCATTTCCAACTTCCACAATCTAGGAGAGGTTATCAAAAAAAAAAAACTTTTTTGACCTTTGCTCAGGCTAGTCTTCTACTTTCAGTTGCCAAAGGAGGCTGTTGACCTGTTGAAGAAAGATTACGGTAAATTTAAATTATATTAGGAGTTGGGTTTGTTTAAAAAAAAGAATACAGGCCTTAATTCTTTCTTTCTTTAAGCTGAAAGTGCCTGAATACAGTGCACATTTGCATACAGAAATGTTGTAAGGCAGTTGGAGCTCCATTTAACCTGAAATGTACCCTTGCTTGCCAGAGCTTCATTTTTGTGATGTGAAAAGGACAGTGTTGCTTCCAGACAGGCATTCCCATTTGCTTGGGTGTGCCTAGTGTCCTGGAGTCTTATGGGTATATACTGGAATTTGGAGACAAGACAATTGAACCTTCTTGGAAAACATCTCCCATACACTTATATGTGCCTAGTATTACAGACAGTCTCACAAGAACAATATTCAGCCCAATTATTTTGCACCTACCACAACTAGCTTTGAAAAGACAAAATGCTTTTCTCTAAGGCCTGGAGTCTTCCATGTGTAGTTAACTGTAGCTGGGAATTGGCAGAGTCTGGAGGATCCTTTCTGTTAAAAAGACCATCTGCATGCAGTATATTCCAAAGCACGGTCATGGGAAGGCAAATTATGAAGTGAGAAACTGTTGAGGTTATATTATAAAATGCTAAAAAAAACCAGTTCAATATATATATATATATATTTAAAATAAAAATCAGCCACTTTGTTATTACATCAGATTGGGCCATGCTTTTTGGGTGGTTTCAGTTGTTAGGGTGTTGTTTTTGTATTATTATTATTATTATTATTATTATTATTATTATTCTGTTAGTTAACAAACTGGAGTTAGCAATACAGTCAACTATTTTCCTAAGATTGTAACTTTGGCATCCAAAACCAAAATGATTTCCATTATTCTACTGGCAGGTATTTACATTCCTAAAATCAGTGTCTGGCAATGAAAAGGAGAATGAAAAGACAGCTTGTAGCTTCAAAGCCTTGTCCACTTTAATGGACTCCTTATGAGCAATAGTCTTGTTATTCAAAGAAACGGAGAATCTGAAATAAGTGAGGTTT